AATGAGGTATGTGTGTGCGTGGCAGGGGGAAATAGAAAAAGTCATTTGTAAATCCAGCAAGCTGGGTGCCAGACCTCCCTCAGGAAGACAGAGCTGGCAGGTAACAGTCTGCACTTCATTTGAATTTTTGAGTGGGGGGTGGGGGGTCCACAAATGAAAAAAGGTTCAAAACCACTACCGTAAATCGTGAGATTGATTTCACCGAAGCAGATTAGTTGTTTTGCCAGAATAGTGTTCAACTTTTTATGCAGCTAGATTCCCATTTTAGGGAACAATTCCAGCTGGAAGTTGCTGCCTTGAGGAACAATTATGGGAGCATACTGTAATTAAGTCTCTGTGACTACCAGTTGGCTTCTGATTTTATACAGTTACAATTCCTGTCTCTCACAGGTTCTTCAGGGCAGATACCCTAATCTTGCTGTTGTATCCAGTCGTCTGTTAGACATTTATATTCAGCTGACCGGAGACAAACATCAGACATCAGAAAGCAGTTCTTCTGGTTCCAAGCAAATAGCAGAAGATCTATCCGAAACAAGAACAGAAAACAAAGGGCCAAGTCTAGAGGGTCGAGAACTATCTCTGAGGTAGTATTCTTCTGTTTTTGAGAGACAGTTTAGCAATTTCACTCTTTGATGTCCAGCAGGTGAAATAGGAACCAGTACCAAATGTTTCAGCACTTTCAAACTATACAGGATTGTTTGCATAATTATAATTAAGATGCCTTTAATTGTTTGTCAGTTTGGGGCTGATGACCATAGAGAGATCAGAAGTAAGATTTTTTTTAATAATACTTTAATCTATACTTATTAATGCAATTTGTGTTTCTCACTTTCTGATATGTGCTAGTTTGAATTAGACACTGTTGCTGTTTAAGTAGGCATTTGTTCATTGGAGTGTATTAGGGAAACTTTATTTGTATTTAAAAAAAACCTTGCATCTGAATGACAATAAAATGAATACCTGGTTACCAAGAAAAATGTAGATTAAGTAGGCTGAGATGAATAGGGCAAAAGAGTAGTTTTGTATGACTGTTCAGCTCTACCTAACCTGTTTATTCCTGTTTCTTACTTTAGAGATTTATTGAATTGGTGCAGTAGAATTGCTTACAACTTTGACAGCTCTTCTTCAACCACAACAGTGAATGTTTTCCAAGAGGTAAGATGAGATTCAGTTCATCTTAGAATTGTTTACTAATGTTTTTGGCATTATTCCCTTAAGTCCTTAAAAACACCATTTTGGAAAAAAATTATGTAGAGTCTTCCTTTAGGCACTAGTTGGAGTGACTGACTGGGACAATGACAGAAGCATGTTGGAGGCATCCCTTACACCTTAGGTGAGGGGAAAATGTGTATAGTTTCATGTTGAATGTTATTCTAGTCTTTGGACTACAATATAAATATTTGGTGGTCCAGTGTGGCTTGAGCTACATTGCTCCTTTTCTGGAAGTGTCTGAAATCTGAAGCGTCTGAAACAGGCATTGTCTGAAAACAGGTCCATTTTAAACTTCATACTACTCCTTCTTGCTGTATGTTCCCTTTGCAATACAAAGGGTGTGTCCACATGACACTGAATGGCAACATTGCTACAGCGCTGTGCTTTAGTACTTCTTTCTGTACACACGAAAGCACAGCAAAGTATGGGTGGTTATTGCACTGTGTACATGGCGCATGGTCAGATTTCATTGCTACATCACTGTAGCAGCACACTATACTGGGGGAACAAGCCACTATGTTGACCTTGTTGCTGATCATATGTAGACCCATGTGATTGCTATGTTGCTGTTGAGTGCCATATGGTGATGTGATGTCACTACATCGCTGTAGGGTGATGTGTAGATGTCCCCAGTATGTTATGTTAGGAAGGTGTTATGTTAGAGACAGCCTTTCTATAAAAGCAGAAACAATTGGGGAAATATTTTTATATCCTGCACTTGTAATCCACGTGTTGTTCTTGTTCTAAATAAAACTGTGCAAGCTTCAACACAAGAGGGAAATTAGAATGAGCACAAAGCAGCTTTTTTAAATATTGAACATAGCGATATTAAATGTGAGGACTCTCCACTGTAAGTGGATACTAGACTGATCTGGAAGATGATAATCTCTCTCTCCCACACCAACAAAGCTCTGGTTTTATCACTGCAGGGACTTTTTCTAAAGACAAATATCATAGTTGCAAGGCTGCTCAGTGGCCTGTTCAGGACTGTATCTAGCCTCTGCTGGTGCCATTGTTGGAATTGATGCAGTAATTGGCATGTGGTAATTTCGATTCACATGTCTCTTAAATTTATCACATGATGATTATTCTGTGTATGCATGTATCCATATATAATCAGGCTTCTTGAGGTTAGATAAAATGATTAAATGGTATGCATTTTTGCTCCCCTCCCCCTAATTCTCCATCTTTACTGTTGGTAAGGAAATTTAAAATGTCTTCTTTTATTCCCAGCTATGTGTCTTTCCCTCTTCCCCTGCAATGGTCCGTAAGTCAGGATAGGTATTTTTCAGTCCTGCATAGGTGGAAAATTTAAGGTAGGGTGTGTCATGGGCCAGAGTGACAGAACACAGAGAGGCTGAACAAATACGATTTTGAAACTCCCAACATGTTTAGCTATAGAAAAGTTACTTTAGGTTATTTTTGAAAGGCTTGTGTCTCCTTCTGAGCTCTACTTGAGACTTTTGGAATTAGATCAGTAGAAAAAATTCCATTCACTTCATTTGGCTCTGAATTGGGCCCATGGTAATTGAAATGGTGGTATTTGGCAAGTTTTACTGAGTTAATCAAAGAATATAATGATATTCTATGTGATGGTTTTTCCTTGACAGGCAATGGATTGTTTCACAGCTATGCTGTCCAACCCAGGGAGCAGACAGAAAATGGCGGAAATTATTGGAAGCAAACTAAATATTTCCAAAAAAAAGGTATATTGAGAGAATGACTACTGTGATGTTTTATTGATAATCTTTAAAATAATCTAGTAAACAGAAGTTGAGGAATGCTTTGCAGTCTAAACCATAAAGTGAATATTAGTTGGAGAAATTCTTCTTAGAAAGATAGGGGGGGTCAACTTGAATCTGCTGTGTATCTTTGTACATAAATATTGATATAGCCTCACAAGTTAAACTAATTCACTTCTGAGATGCAGATTGATCTCAGTGGGTGGTAGATGAAATAGAATGATAGCAGCACAGATTCCATAAGCAACACAGAGGAAAAACAGTACTTGCACACTGGGAAAAGGACCACTGGAGTGGAGGAGGAGTAGAAGGTTCAAGTCTGTGAAGTATTTTGAGTAAAAGTATACAAACATGATCAAATGAACTTGTCCCATTGAGACACCACAGGAAACGTACGGGGAGTGTTCTTAGCATACCATAGCAAGCGAAACTATGTAGTGGAAATAATGATGTTTTCTCTGCAGGCTGAGTACTACTGTCGTCTTCATAAACCAGAAATTCTAATAAGGGAGCAGGAAGCGTCTGTGGGAAGAGTGTGGCTGAAGCGGAAACAAAGCCAGGCACTTCTTGTACAAAGGTAGTCCACCTCTCCTATAACCTTTCCTCTTGGACATGTGTTTTATGTGGCAAAAGAATGCACTGGGAATTAGAGAGTAGAAGCAGCATGTTAAGATAAACTTAGGTCATTTTAAGCAAGGGTTATGGATGTCTGATTTCATCTCACTTACTGTATCCTTGACAGTTAGCTTTACTTGCCTTCAGACCAAGATGTTTACATTGCATCTCTAAAAACCCAAGTATGGAATACATTTGCATCTTTTGAGTTGGAATAACTTGTAATCATTTTAGAGCTGGAAATGCTGTTTGGAAGAGATTGCACAGTGATATGAGTGACTAATTGTGTGTAGATGGTTCTTGTTGGCTTAGATCAAGTGTTTTCAGGATGTGAGAAACCAGTTGTTCTTGTGGCATTAACTCCACTAAAATGGCAGTGTGAGACAAAACAAAGGATTCTTTTGAAAAACCTAATTTTTTAAATTGTAAATAGAAAAAGATTGTGCCTCGTACATGCCTTAAAACTATGCACCCCTTTCTCCCTGCCCCACACAGTTTCTTGTTTTAAAGTTGTAATTGGAATTCAAAAAATTAGGGGATGGGGAGGCTGAGTAACTGAAATCAGAGTTTCTTGATGTGTGTTATCCCTGAATTGCTTTCCGTGTTTCAACAGGGAGAAGCAAACCTTTGCTGCCACACGGCCGTCTTCAGTACTCATTGAGCAGCTTGCTGTTTGTGTTGACAAGGGAGAACCTGTGCTGTTGGTGGGTGAAACAGGAACTGGCAAAACCTCAACTGTACAATATCTTGCTCATGTCACAGGTAAAATTTTGGGCTAAAGTAACTCATACAGAGGTAATAGGAAGTTCATGAATGATGACTGCTATTTTTCTTTTACTTCAAGGGCACCATTTGAGGGTTATTAATATGAACCAACAGAGTGACACTGCAGATCTGCTTGGGGGGTGAGTCATTTGGTATTAATGAATACAACCTTCTAATCAACCCTGACTTAATTCTAAACAGAATTGTACTGTACTGTAATTTTATGAAATTCAGATATGTGCATGTGTGCAACCTAGAGGAAATTCAGTGCACAGGAGCCCTGCTATCATGACTAAAGTTTAGGAGCTTGTGCTTCTAAATGACTCCACTGGGCTCTATACAGATGGCTGTATGTAAAGCATAATCCAGTTGTGGGGAAAAGTCAATAGTTAATGCAGAATGAGCAGTTATGAAATACTCAGTTCCTTTGGCTGACCACAGCAAGGATGGGTAGCCAGTTCCATTCATGTAACAATTTCTCAAAAGGGAGCATTATTACATGTGTATCCCTTCAGCTTTGTTTGGATTAAGAAATTAAAATCTTCATTATAGAAAACCACATAACAACCTTGTTATGTGAGATTTGACAGTTGACTGGAATTTTCCTTTTGGCCACGTGGAAAGTAACCGGTTTCTCTCTTCCTCCTGTACAAGCTACAAGCCAGTGGATAATAGACTGATATGGTTACCCTTACGGGAGTCATTTGAAGAACTTTTCTGTCAGACATTTTCCAGGAAGAAAAATCAGACTTTCTTGGGGCATATTCAGACTTGCTACAGACAGAAACGTTGGCATGATCTACTCAGACTAATGCAGCACATTCACAAATCTGCCATTAGTAAGGAAGCAAAAGAAAATGCATCTGGTAAGAATGTAGACTGAGCATCTGCTGTCACTGTTGAAGAACGTAGAGGTGTGGCAAGCTAATTCTGTGTTCATAGTTTCTTTGATTACTTGCTTTTCTCCAGCTATGACAAATACTGTTTTGTCCTTCTTTTCTCTATTCACAAGGCTGATCAAAGATCATTCTTCTAGTCCAGGATGTGGACTTCTCTTTATAGTCCCCCTCCAGTTTCTACCTTCACATCAGACATTAGGTGCTTGTCTCCACTTTCAAGGTCCTTAGCATCCAATCCCCACCCTTCACTGCTGAAATGTGAATTTCAGCCTCCGTTTCCTGCAAGTGAATTTTTCACACAATCACCTTCCTGTTTGGGAGCAGCTCTCTGTAAATATGGACAAAGCTGTTGCAGAAAGTTTGATAAGAGCTAGTGTGCTGGTGCCCTGATACCACTGCCAATAATGCTGACTAATAATGGCTCATTATAGTGCCCTCTTTGTCTGTCTATCTCAATGTATGTTGTCTTTTGTTTTATACTCAGATTATCAGATCTTTGGAAACTATTGTATTCTGTGCTTACATAACCTGGGTTGCTGAAGGGTCAGAGCTCTTTGGCACTGCTGCAGTTCATTTCATAACTGTAGCTCTCAATCAGTGGGAAGCAAACTTTTTTTCTTTGTTGCATACATTTTATCACAGAGTAAAGAGGATGTTGGATTTGGGGATCTTTTTTTTTTTTTTTTTTTTAAAGCTCATTTATGTAG